GTACTGCAGGGAGCAGGCAGGGAAGGCTGCGGGGAGGGAAGGCAGCGCGGCAGCCCCTGGGAGGGCTGGTGAATATAGGCGTATGAAACACCCCCCCATAACAAACACCTCCTTCTCTCGGCTGGACAAACAGTAGTAACGCCGATGGCAATATGAGTTTCCTTCTTCTGCCTGGGTACGGAGTCACCCTAACAGCAGTGCTAATAAAGAGCCTGTAATGGTTTTCTGCTGGACCGAGTCGGATTTCAAGCCTGGGAAACGGGTGAGTGAAAACAGCCATTTCGAAATGAAAGCAGCTCTTCGGGAGATGCTTTTTTTTTCTTTCTTTTTTTTTCTTTTTCTTCCCCCCCCTCCCCCCCGTGGCGACTCCTCCTCGACAGGCAAGGCAAAATTGAGAGAAATTAATGCCTGCCTGGGTGCATGAGGCAGGTGCCGGAGCGGCGGTGCGAGGGTGAACTGATAGTTTTGGCAATAGAAACCAAATACCCACCAACGCTGAACGCATGGCCGAGCCGGGCCCGAGGAGCATCTCGCCGTGCACAGGGCGCAATCCCTGCTGCAGAGGGGTGTGTATGTGCGTGTGTGCGAACATGTACTCAATTACAGCTGCCATATTAAAAATAAAAAGCGCGAGTTATCTGCCACATTAAACGTGATGCTTTTAGGGCTTTCTTCTTCTTGTAGAGAAATACACAGAAATGTGTATTGCTGCTGCTGTTTGTTGTTAACAATTACTACTCTTTTCAGGGAGGACTCCAAGCACTGGAGCCGACGCTGCCGCCAGAAGAAAAGGTGCCAGTGGAAGCTCCCGCGGCCGAGCGGAATGGCGTCGGGGACCCCCATCCTCCCACGGGGTGAGTAGCCCTCACCGTGGGCCTGGCCCGGGCGGGGGCTCCGGACCTATGGCGCGAGGTTGATTTGCAGCAATCAGGCATTTAGCCCTGCTAAATTTGAGAGTATATTCTGCTTGTTTGGTGCGGTCAGCCTAGGAAAGTCTGTTATTTCCCTGCCGATATTATTATTATTATTATTATTATTATTATTATTATTATTACTACTACTACTGTTGTTGTTGTTGTTGTTATTATTGTTGCTGCTGTTGTTGTTGTTTGTTGTTTGTTGTTGTTGTAGTTTCATGAGCCGTAATGGAAATACTCAAAATTTTAAATCGAATTCTGGTTCTTGGAGAAAACGACCTTTTAAAATAGGAATACTGGTCTAACTAAGGTTGGAAGCACAGAGCCTTACTTTTCTGTAAAGAGTGTGGTCAGGCTCTAGCCTTGCCCTGTCTCCGTGTCTGGTCCCGGCTCCACCTCGGTTCCCTCAGGCATGGGATGCAGGCGCTTGACTGCTGCATCCCCAGTGTTGCCCTTGGCTTGCTTATGGCTATACCATGCACCGAGACAGAATACGGTACAATTTCATAAGGTGTTATCATTGCATATTGTAATTTTATATATTTTCTATTTAAAGATATGTATGAAATATCTATTCTAGGCATTCTTATACGAAACAAGCATGAATATAGACTAAATGTAATGTGAATTTATTTTGCATATTTTATATGCATATAATGTAGTTATAATTAAATGTAAGCGTATTACATATAAAAATAATTGATAAGCAAATAGGCTTGATGCATATAGATAAAGAACCTTATGATTATGTATATTATGTATATTTTTATATAGGTATTACATAGATGTCTTGTGTACATAAACGGCACAACTACATATTTATAGTGTGCCAACTTATACGAAGTAATTATAAAGCACACATCGTGTGACATTATGTTGTAATGAATTACATATTCCAATATGTTATATGAAAGCGTATGTATATTATTTTTAACGTTTATGTATGAAATACCAATGGGTTGGACACTCGGTAGGAGTGAAAAACGAAGAGAAATCTTCTTCCCCTTTAGTTCTCTACAGGTAGCTCTGCAAAGTGGCCAGGGTTTGCGCTGGGGAAGGAGATCAGAGCTCTCCCGCTGCCCCGCCTTGCTTCCCCTTCTGCGTCCCTAACGCGCGGGATGTGTGAGCACGGCCCCGCGTGGGGTCCGGGGAGGGAGGCAGGGTCTCCCACTCGTGCCGCGGGA